AACCCTAAACCTTAAACCCTAAGGAAGAAGCCTCAGAGTGGGGCCTTGTCAAGGTGCCCTTGCCTGTATCTGCAATATCACGAGATCAGTTTGGATAACTCTGGTGCACCCTAAACCCTGAACCCCTCAACAAAAACATGTTCTGAAAATGAGGAGCCTGAGCGCCCTGTGGATCTCGACGCTTCCAGATTCGAAGCACAGAGAGGTCGGTCTTGGAACGGTCTGAAAGCATCTGGCCCTAAATTTATAAACCCTAAACCCTTGGGATACTTCTACAGGATAAAGAAAGCGGCAAGCCTTTCTACTACGGTGGCAAACAGCTGCCGTGGGCACCGGAAGCGCCTGCTCAGTTTAGGGTTTTAGGGTTTAGGGCCCCTTTTTTCAGAAGGGTCGATCCTGGGGCCTGCGTTTGTGCTCCCCTTTTAATGGTTTGGGGTTTAGGGTCTAGGGGCTTCAACACGTGCAACGCAGAAACTCATGTTATTCCTGATGCAGGCCCTACACCGAAAGAAAGCTGTCAACCCAAAGCATTGCCGCCTCCAAGGCCCAATGCGGAGGCAAGATCCCAGGACCCCACCTCTGTCGGTCAGTCAGTCAGCCAGTCAGTCTGTCGGTCTCTCAGTCTTTCAGTTTGTCAGTCTGTAAGTCTGTCAGTCAGTCAGTAAGTCTGTCAGTCAGTCAGTCAGTCAGTCAGTCAGTCTGTCTGTCTGTCTGTCTGTCTGTCTGTCTGTCTGTCTGTCTGTCGGTCTGTCTCTGCATCTGCCAGTTTGTCCGTGCATGGATGCTGAAAGCGTGTGACGCTGTAAGCACGTATGCAGGAATGCATGCACGCGTGCATGCATGCACACGGGCATACTCGCATGCCTGCATGCTTCAGCCAATAAGAAAGTCCTACTTTCCACGCATGTCTAAGCAGACAAGTACGAGTACATAAATAAAGGTATAAATATGTGTATAATCTCTGTATGTGAATACCTGTACGGCATTTATGTTTCGTATTGTATGTTATGTGTATGTATGTGTGTGCATGTATGTACGTATGTATGTATGCATGCGTAGTGTGCTTGTGTATTTGTATCCATACTTATTTGTTTGTTTATGCACGTGTAGATTCTATATATAATATGTACACACACATGTCGATATATACATGCACCTAAGTAGACGCCTAAGCAAGTCATGCAAACATGAGAAACGGGGTGTGTAATACCATCCAGACCTCTACATATTATGTGCGTGTGAAGGCTTTTCGTATGCAGCCTCAAGCTCGAGCGTTTCGGATGAGGGGAGCGCCAGGACAAAGGATTCGAAACTGAGCCCCGCCGCCCCACCCCAGTGCTCTCCCAAAGGTAGGGCAACACTCCAAGTGACCAAGCGGCTAAAGCTGTAAACATTCGGCGCCACGCGGACAGACCTACGGCTGTTGGGGCTGAATCCGCAAGTAAATCAACCGGAGTGCAAAAGCTGTGCTGTGCTGATAAAACCCCAAACTCTAAAGCACCTCAACTCTAGATATTGATCTGCCAGTCGACCCTTCTCCAACCCTCAGCCCACCAAAGCAGAGCTGGCCGTCTGCTGCCCTATGTAGACCCAAAATTCACTAAATCAAGGGTAGGGCCTGCCGGTCAAGGTTCGGTAGCGTCTAGAGCACCGAACGCAGCAGAAACAATCAAGCTAGGCTCTACGTTCTTCCAGAGGCTCCAACAAGCAGAATAGCATGGCTTTCTACACAAACTTGTGACATTGATGGCAACGAGGATGCTGATAATGATAATGATGATAATAAAAATAATGATTATAATGATGATGATGATGATGATGGTGATGGTGATGATAATGATGATGGTGGTGGTGGTGATGATGATGGTGGTAGTGCTGCTGATGATGATGATGTTCACAGCAGCCAGTTTGGCTGCTTCAACTATTTCCGGTAGGACGCAGTAGCTGAAAGTGGTGCCTGCTGCTCACTTCGATGCGACAGGACCCCAAGTTGTCGGTAAACATCTTACTGTAGCGGCCTTAATAATTAGAAGGTTTCGGGGCCCATTATACTATATTTATAATAGGGAACCACCAAAATAATATAGGTAACTATTTAGGCCCCCATAGTACGAGGCCCCCATAGTACGAGCTTCCAACCTCAGCGCTGGCCGCACCTCTGCCCCCGTGATGAAGCATTGAAGCTCACGAGGCTACGGCTTCAGGCAGGACCGCCGAAAGCCGGAAACACGCAGAACTCTGATTCACCGACCAGCATGTTTCCTGAAGCCGAAGTATAAGTAATAAAAACCCTGGAGACTTTTTGGAAATATGTGTGCCCTACATGCTAGAAGCACGGAGCCTAAATGCAAGTAGTAAAGACTTGAAGGCTGCTTGCAAAACTGCTGCCCAACCTCATCCCAGACAGCAGACGCAGCCCTCTCGTCCAGGCACGGGCTTGCTCCTGAGTTCCGAGTGCACGCAAGCCAAACTTCGTGCGGGACGATGGTGGTGCTGACGATGGCAGTGGATAGGAAGAACATGATACGGATGTGTTGCGGGCGTTGATGGTGGAAGTGGTGGTGGTGGCGGCGGTGCCGGTGCGGCGGCAGCAACTGCTGCTGCACGGCTGCGGCTACGGAGACGATTCCCTCAGCATGTGTTGCGAACTTGAAGGCCGCAGAGTTTACGACGTTGATGTGTTGTCTTCCACCCATCTTCTGGGACACTCTTTAATTTTATAACTCCCTATCCGGAGAAACTTATCCTGAGCAAGAGCATGCAGCCCAGATGCGTGGGCTGAGATGGCGATGCTGTAGCTGAAGACATTGGGCCTTTGATTGAAGTTGCAAGGTTGCTGGCTTTAGGGTTTAGGGTCTGGAGAAGCTCCGGGCTAGGGTCTAGGGTTTAGGGTTTAGGGTTTGGGGTTTAGGGTTTGGGGTTTGGGGTTTAGGGTTTAGGGTTTAAATAGGGTTTAGGGTTTAGAGGCAAGTGAGCTGTCGAATTCAGGAAACAAATCGGCCCTGCTGATGGCTTGATGCGAAACGCTCTCTATATCCTAAGACACATCTCCCAAACTACCTGGAACAAACACTCGACACTAAAGCGGACGCTGTTTGCTACTATTCACGATGAAAACAATGACAACCCTCACAGAAGCAATAAGACCCCTAACAGAAACCGCTGCATAAACCCTAAGATCAACCGGTTGAAACGGTCCGAAGGGCCGGAGTGTCCTGTGGCGTAGCGTGCAGAAGGCGTGTGCAGCCTGTCAAGTGAGGTTTTCGGGCTGGGGAGGGTTATGGTTGAGGGTTTAGGGTATAGGGTTTGAGGTTTAGGGTTTAGGGTTTGGGGTTTAGGGTTTAGTGTTCAGGGTTTAGGGGCTTATACAGCGCGTTCGTGTTGGAGGTGGCTGTTCTCTTCCTGGTGAAGCTACCTGAGGTCTTGAGCCTACTGGTTTTGGGCAGTTAGTGTTAAGAGTGCCAAGGACTAGGGCTGGTGCTGTGCGTCTGCGGTGATCGGACCAGACTAGCCTAGGCAAGTTTGAGGCCCAGAGCTGCTCAGGCTGGAGATGAAACCTAAAAACCATAACATCTCCCAAATATTTGCCGACACAACCACTATCCGGAACCCAAGTACCTGACTATTGGGTCCTTTGGACCCTTATAGGGCTGTACTTCGCTGATGAGCCCCGGAAACCCAAACCCCAATAAGAACACGCCTCAACTCTGAAACCTGCCCTGAAACCCTGAAGTCCTGAGACCTAAACTAAGCCCTAACGCCCAACAGTCCTAAACGCCCATAGGGGTCTAGGGTTTAGGGTTCAGCTCGTTCGCGGCTGTACGACTTTCGAATTTGATGCATGGTGTAAGACTTCAGGGTATCGCGGAACCACTAGCAACCCGATGTCCAAAGAGCGCAAGTTTAGGGTTTATAGCCGACTTGTATCCTAAAGCCCTAAGACCCCTAAACCCTAAACCCTAAACCTTAAGCCCTAAACCCTAAACCCTAAACCCTAAACCCTTAAGCTAGATGAACTCCAACGACCGACCTGGCGCCAACGACCTCGCCGCCGGAGGCTCGTGAGGCCATGGTTGGCATCCTCGTCATCTTCGGCTTCGGATTTAGGATTCAGGGGCCTTAAAACCCTAAGCCCTATAGGGTTTAGGTTTGGGTCTAGTTTAGGGTTTAGGGTTTATAAACCCTAAACCCTAAACCCTAAACCCTAAACCCTGGGTTTAGGAGCTTCCATCGTCATGCATGTGGTATCACCCTAGCTTCCCAGAAGCCCTTTTCATTGGTGACAGGTATGCCGCAAGAACATCCCAAGCCTGGGCATCCGAAAAAACCTTAGGACTGGGCACAATAAAGGGCTCGGGAGAACTGGTGATGCCATACCCTTCAGAACCCTATATATAAGTACACGATGATACTTGAACCTTTGCCTGATTTCTGAAGCCCCTGTAACAAACTTCAACCTTCTGACGTCAGGGATCGACCAGCTGTCGCTCCGCGTGCCGGCCGTCGGCCATCGCCCGGAAGAGGAAAAGACGGACGAGCCGGGAGCAGGAGGGGGGTTCGGATTTAGGGTTTAGGGCTTTAGAGGGTTTTTCAGGGGGGTTTTTAGGGTTGGGTTTAGGGTTTAGGGGTTTAGGGTTTAGGGGTTTAGGGTTTAGGGGTTTAAGGTAATGTTGTTAAGGCATCATGCCTTCATTTTTCTTGGGTTCGGTTTTGGCTGCGGTGAGGCTGCAGAATCGTGAGGAGTTACCAAGGTCTTCCAAACTTCCTTCATAAAGGACTCTCTGTTGAGATTGCCTTGAACAACGATCCTACACTTTGCGCCGAACATCCCGTGAAGCTTCGGAAAGCTGGAGACTCGAGCCCGAGCTGGCAGATGAAGGCGCGTCAATCGTCCGCAATATTTAGTAAGTTTGCAATGCGCTGGAGGGTGAAATCAGCCCTAATTTCTACAGCCTGGAACCTGCAATCCCGAAACCCTTCACATCGCACGTGCATCTACTCCGGGGTGGCTTGCACCCTCTACTTTCTAGCTAGTGCCGCACTGGCAGCTACCAGCACCAGTTTCACTGACTTCGCTTCTGCCAATGTAATTCTGATGATAATGTAACTTGCTACAGATTCCGGCTGCAGGCAACACCAACACAACATACTGCTGGTCACTGCTTCTACTCCTGCTATTCACTGTCAGTGCTGCTCCTCTTCCTCGTCTTCCTCCTCCCGCTGCTACAACTGCTGCTACAACTACGACGATGGCTACTTCTTATGCATCTAACCATACCGGTATGCTGAAGGTATGCTTCCACAAGTACTACGATCAGTACTGAATAGTCCTACACTGCAAACGAACCTTCCATTCGAAAAGCTGGGAGTGAGAATCTCGCCACAACATGTAGCATTCTCAACCCTATACACCCTAAAGAAAGTAACCCTTATAGAACCCTTTAGGAAACCCTCTTATAGTATCCTTATCGAAGCCCTTATAGATCCCTTTAAGGAACCCTATCGAAACCCTGAATGATCCTGTTAAGGAACCCTTTAAGGATCCCTTTTAGGATCCCTTTAAGGAGCCCTTTAAGGAACCCTTTAGGGAACCCTTTAAGGAGCCCTTTAAGGATCCCCGGAAACCCTCTGATAGTACCCTTTATAGATCCCTCTGAGGAACCCCTAAACCCTAAACACTAAAGCCCTTTAAGGAGCCCTTTAAGGACCCCCTACTTCCAGGGCGGCTGAGCCTGGCCAGGCTCTGGCCCACTCGTTGCCGCTGGACAAGAGCACCGCTGTCGGGCTTGAAATGATCTGAGAAGGGCTTTTAGTGTTTAAGGCTTAAGGAATTAGGGTTTAAGGGTTTAGGGTTTAAGGGTTTAGGGTTAAAGGGTTTCGGGTTAAAGGTTTAGGGTTTAGGGTTTTAGGCGGCTTAGGGTTTAGGGTTTAGGGTTTAGGGGTAAGGGTTTAGGGTTTAAGGATTAGGGTTTAGGGTTTATAAAGTTTAAAGTTAAGTGTCAAGGTCTTCCAAAACCTTATTATCATTCAGGGAAATGCCTTAAATCGATCTCGAGTATATGATTTAAGGTTCATAGATTTTTTAAGGGACTTTGGAAGATTTGGGAGTGGATTTGAAGTGCAGGCCCTTGGCTTGCCGTTTTCTGGCAAGTCCATGCTCGGTTAGGGAATGAAGCCAAAGCTCGGCGCGCGAAACAAAAAACCTTTAGTGTGTGTGTGTGTGTGTGCGTTTTTGAAGGCACGTTTTCCGTTCGCTTTGGGTTAAAAGTTTAGGGTTTAGGGTTTAGGGTTTAGGGTTTGGGCCGCAGCCAACAAGCTTCGGACCACGATCCTTAAGTTTGCAGCGGCTGATCTGGCGGTGGAAAAAGCAGCGAGCTGCAGTAGCAATAGCTCTTACGACGCATACAACTATCCCCGCTTCTGCTAAAACTGCCACTTCTGCCGTTGATACTGAGTCTATTGCTAACTCCGACGACAACTTCAACTCCAGCTGCTGATAAATACATGTACAATCTGCGGAGTTGGCGAGGAGAATATCCCAGACTGGACGTCCCCAAAACCCAAAACCCCTGAACCCTACATCCCAAGAAGCTTCTGAGAGCAACGCAGCTTCGCCCCTCTTAGAAACTCCCCATGAATTAGAGTGTATCATCGCGTAATGTAGCATATTACAGTAGATCAAACTCGCAATAAACTGCTCAGAAAGCGTCCCTAAACCCAAAGCCCTAAACCACTTTACAGATCGCATGGAAGGCAAGTCGCCAAAATTGGCTTCTCAGTCCGAGAGAGCACCGCCGCTGTCCTCTCAACGCGGCACCATCCTCAAGAATCGGTTTCGGGTCTAGGGGTTTAGGGGTTTAGGGTTGACGATTGAGGGTGTAGGGTTGTTTTGGGGTTTAGGGGTTTGGAGGTTTAGGGGTTCAGGGTAGAAGGTTTAGGGGTTCACGGGTTTAGGGTTTAGGGGTTTGGGGTCCGATGCTGCTGGTGGGGATCCGGGTGTAGAGTCCCAAAGGGCCCTAGGTACCTCTATAGTGGAATGTAGGGGTTCCTTCAAAGGGGTTTAGGGTTTTAGGATTCCTTTAAGGGTTTCTTAAGCCTCTATAGTGGAATGTAGGCTTCTTGTATAGGGGTTACGATTTAGGGAGGTATCCTCCATAACAGTGCATAGGACCCTGTGGGAGTTTGGGGTTCAGGGTTCGTAGGGTTTCGGTCGGCGCGCTTGGCATGAGCTCACGACTTCATGAATATGCATGGGGGCTTAAAAAGCTGAGCGGTTCTTCTGTGCTCCTTGCTTTCGTCATGCCGGTTTCTTCCGATCCTTACCGCATCACAGCTCCAGGTCTCGAAGCTCAACCCCCCCACCGAAATCCCAAACACTCAAACTCTAAACCCTAAACCCTGAATCGAAACGCTCAAAGCGAAACACCAAACACCAAACCCCAGGCACAAGCAAGAGCTTCGGGGCTCTAGCCTCGCATGCCCCAGGTACTTCGGCTCATCATCACGCCTCCCAAGTTGAGTAGGGTTTAGGGTTTTAGGGTTTAGGGTTTTAGGGTTTAGGGTTTAGGGATTTAGGGTTTAGCCTTTGTCATAAACCATTTGGGCTTTCGCCTTTCTGATAAGGAGGCGGCGGTAACTTGAGGGTGCCGCTACCAGTGGACATTGGTGCACGTTCGAACTCTCTAAAACCCTAAACCCTATAAGCCCTAAACCCCAAACCCTCTAAACCCTCTAAACCCTCTGAACCCTATAAACCCCCAAACCCGAACTACACTCCCGCAAGCTCCTGAGCACATGCGACACACACGCTGGAGATCAGTGGCTAGCAGGAACTTCATCGCATGGATTGCGGAGTAGATGGTGTAATATAGGAACCTGTTTAAGAAACCCTGTGTCTTGAAATGTAAGGGTTCTTAATATGAATCCTAATATATCCGGGTTCTAGGGCCAGGGTTTCTTAATCAGGTTCCTACAGTATGTCGGGTATGTCCGCTTGGGGTCTCAGGTAAAGGATTACCCTAAACCCTAAACCTTAAACCCTAAACCCTAAACCTTAAACCCTAAATGTCATAGGTATCCTCCATAATTTTTACATTTCAATCCTTTTTCTAATCCTGAAGGCCCCTAGAATCAAACCCGAGAGTTGGTCGCCCCGGTCCCGGAAGCCTGTATCGGTGTGCTTGATGGAAGGCGCCAGCACGAAGACCTTCAGTCACTTATAAGGGGCCTTTCATAATTCGAACAGGATTTTTGTTTTTTTTTGGGGGGGGATTCCTTTAAAGGGTTCTGTATGGGCGACTATAAGGGTTTTATAATGTAGGGGCCTTCATAATTAGAATAGGGTTTTGGGGTATATTATACTTTAATGATGATACGGAAGCCCAACAGGTAATTATTAAGGTCCCTATATTACCCAGACTTTCCGATATCCCTTACCCTAAGGCTTAAGGGTCCATGTCCTTTTGGGGGCCAAAGTACATACTATTTGTGTACATGGACCCTTGGGGTTAGTTCAGGAATACTTCGTAAATCATTCAATCATACAGGGTTTTGGGGCGAGGGATTGGGTTAGGAAGATAGCTGGTAAAGGAGACTTTCTTAGTTCTGGTATATGGAAGATCTGAGAACTTCGCATTGCTTCCTAGATCACGGACATACTCCGGGGCCCTTAATTACTAGAATAGGGTTGTGGGGTATATGGCAATATCATCATATTCTAAGCGGGTACTAGTGGCAATTATTCAGCCAGGAACCCCTGCGTTTCGAGGGTAGGCGCTGCGAGTGATTGGGGTTTGTGGGGCTTTATGGTGTAGGTGTGGGTCTAAAGCGTCTAGGGTCTCGAGGCTTCGTGACTGCGAGGGCGTGGCAGTTCAGGTTCCGAGGTGCACAAAGCGAGAAGTCTTGGCTTTTGGCGGGGTCCTTAAACCCTAAACCCTGAAGGTCCCCGTACACAAATAATAGATACTTTGGCCTTAAAGTGGGTCCCGATTATACAAGCACTCTGAAACCAAAGTATATACTATGTAGGCACATGGACCCTTAGGGAAACCGCCAATCCACGGCCCTACTGCTACCCTGGCACCTTGCGCCTTGAGCCCCAAACAGTAACCCAGATCCCGCAAAATTGCTTCGAAGCACCGTAGTCGCAACCTTCCCTCGGCTTGAGGTTTAGGGAACTTCGAAAACTGAGTTTTGGGGTTTACGGTTCAGGGATTCGGTTCAGTGTTGGCGCTTCAGGTTGGAATGATCACCTGAACTTCTGAGCACTAATATAGGGGCCTAAATAACTACCTATATTATTTTGGGGGGGATCCTTATTATAACTATAGTATAATGGGCCCCAAAAACCCTAAACCCTAAACCTATTCTCATTATTAAGGACACCAAAGCCACGGGCCCGACACCCAAATCTCACTCACAAGCCCTGCACCCCCAAAATGCTAAATCCTGGATCCCAAAACACTCTTTGGGTTTAGGGTTTAGTCAAGCTCTAGGCCTAAAGACATTAAAA